TGGCCAACCACCTGTGGTCCCGCCCCAGATGGCCCTCACCCCTCTGATCTGCCCACAGCCCCTCCCCACAGCCAGCTCCATCCTGATTGGTCCCACCACTCTGATCAGGGGCAGGGCCAGCCAGCCAACCACCCATGGCCCCTCCCCACGGCTGGCCCCACCCCTGATTAGCACCCACCACCCCAATCTGTCTGGGGTCCCTCTCCCCAGCCAGCTCCACCCTGATTGCCCCCTAACGCCAATTGAAACAAAAACATTTTAAAAATAGAATCAACCAATGAATGCATAAATAGGTGGGCCAACAAATTGATGTTTCTCTATATAAGGAAGCTAACAGAAACAAATCTCTCTATATATAAAAAGCCAGCAACCGGAATCACAGGTCACTATGACACCCACTGCCGCCAGTGAACTGGACTGATCCAAGGGTGAGGCCAGCGGCCAAACTCCTGCAGCCCATCCCCCTGCCCGGTCCCCCCCGCCCCCCCAGATTGGCCCCCTCACCAGATCAGGGTCGGGGACCCTCCAGAGCCCCCCCACTTCGCAATTGGGTCTACCGGCCAATTGCCTGTGGCACCTCCCCTGAGCTGGCCCCAACCTCCCGCCATCTCCTCCTCCTGAAAAGACCTGGCCCCAATCTGCCCCACCTATAAATGAATTTGTGTACTGGGCCTCTAGTATAATTTAATATAGTCATATGAGCTACCATTAAAAGCCCAGCATGAGCCCTGGTGGGTCTGGCTCAGTGGATAGTTCTTTGGCCTATCTGAGGCATCCGGGGTTTGATTCTGACTGGGGCACATGGCTGGTTTGCGGGCTCAGTCCTTGGTGGGGGGCGTGCAGGGGACAGCTGATCAATGATTCTCTCTCATCATTGATGTTTCTATCTCCCTTCCTCTCAGAAATCAGTAAAGAATATTTTTAAAAAGCTCAGCATGATACTAAAATCTTTTTTATTTTAATATATTCCTATTGGTTTTATATAAGTATTTTTTAGTTCAGAGAGGGAGAGAGAGATAGAAACATCAACCATATAAGAATTATTGGGAAGATCTCCCGGGAGAGGCGTGCGGGAGGGCTGGGAGAGATCCCCCTAAGAATATATGCACAGGGGAAAATGGGAGACATCTGTAATACTATCAACGATAATAAATGCATTAAATTTTTTAAAAAAAGAATTATTGATCTGCTGCCTCCTGCACACCCCACACTGGGGAGCCCGCAACCTAGGTACGAGCTCCAACTGGGAATTGAATGGTGACCTCCTGGTTCATAGGTTGACACTCAACCACTGAGCCACTGCAGCCTATCAAATTTAATCCTACTCATTCAAATCTCTGTTAACCCCTTCCCCAGCAGAAACATGTATACACGTTTTCACAAAATGTTCTTTTTCCAGTCGTCGACGAGTATACTCGTCTAAAACTTTACCTTCTGCCGAGGCCGGTTTGGCTCAGTGGATAGAGCGTCGGCCTGTGGACTGAGAGGTCCCAGGTTCGATTCCGGTCAGGGGCATGTGCCTGGGTGGCGGGCACATCCCCAGTGGGGAGTGTGCAGGAGGCAGCTGGTCGATGTTTCTCTCTCATCGATGTTTCTGGCTCTCTATCTCTCTCCTTTCCTCTCTGTGAAAACTCAATAAAATATATTAAAAAAAAAAAAAAAGTAAAACTTTACCTTCAAAAACCAGCTACATACGTACCATTCTAAATAATTTCATCTAGAAACTTTCTGAGGAAATACTATTCTTAACCACAAAAATGGGAAGAAAAAATAATTACAAACTGTTTTCATAACCAGCATCAAAAATACTATATAGAACCAAAATAAAAAAATTAGTCTGAAAAAGAAACGTTTTTAACAAAAAAATTGTTGGGGAAGGGGTTAAACATTTATTTGCTAGGTATGAGGCATACTATAAATAAGACAGTCACATAGTAGCTTCGAGTTTACAATCAGATGAAAGAGAATGTAGTATGTTATAATGTGATATATGCATTCTTGGCAAACCTCACATTCTACAAAACTGCTCACTAAAGATAAGTTGTGTTTTTTTTAAATATTTTATTGATTTTTTTTACAGAGAAGGGAGAGGGATAGAGAGTTAGAAACGTCGACGAGAGAGAAACATCCATCAGCTGCCTCCTGCACACTCCCTACTGGGTATGTGCCTGCAACCAAGGTACATGCCCTTGACCGGAATTGAACCTGGGACCCTTGAGTCTGCAGGCCGATGCTCTATCCACTGAGCCAAACCGGTTAGGGCAGTTGTGTTTTTAAATAAAGAAGCAGTTTCCCAGAACGTTCATTTCTTGAGTCCAAATAAATAAATAAATAAATATTTTTTTGGTGAGAGAGAGGAAGGGAGAGGAGGAGGACAGAGAGAAACACTGATCTGTTGCCTCCAGTACATACACAGACCCAGGACACCCACAATCTAGGTATGTCCCTGACCAAGAATCAAACCCACAACCTTTTAGTGTAATGAACTATACTCCAACTAATTGGGCCACCCAGCCAGACTCTGATTCAGCAGGTCTATGATGAAGCTCAGGATTTGCATTTCTTTTTTTCCCCTCTAGGTTCTGTGTCTAGGTTCTGTGTGAGGATTTGCATTTCTACCAACTTCCCTATACTCCTTGATTTTAGATTCACACTCTAAGAATCATTGTTTTAGAACAAAAATTATAAACTGACTAGAGGTCCAGTGCACAAAATTTGTGCATGGGTAGGCTCCCTAGGCCTGGCTGGTGATCAGGGCCAGCTTGGGCCTTCCTTCATTCCACGCTGCCCCCTGATGGTGAGCACACATCATAGCGAACGATTGAACTCCAAGTCGAATCCCGGGACACACACACACAGACACATGTGCATGTCCTATCCAGGTCAGAGACAGGTTATCCATTGTTATTTTTTTATGTTAATTATAATAGGTCTACGTTTAAAACTATGAAGATATCACATAGAAATCTGATTTCTGATTCTCTTGAAAAATCATCACATAAAATATAAATCCAGCAAAGTACTAGAGAAAATTATGGTTGAAATACTTTGTGATGCATCTGGAGAAGGCCTTTTTAAACTCAGAAACTAAGAAAAAATTAATTCTATTCCACCTAGTTAATTTTACAAAAGGTCAACTTAGCGCAGGTGTGGTTCAGTGGTTGAGCATCAACCCATGCACCTAGAGGCCACTGGTTCGATTCCTGGTCAGGTACATGCCCTGGGTTTCTGGCTTGATCCCAATAGGCAGCTGATAGTGCACGCATGAGGCAGCTGACTGATGTTTCTATCTCTCCCTCAAAATAAAAACTTTTTTTAAAAGGTCAACTTAGCATACACACACACACACAGAATCTCAGCAATCAACATGGAAGAAAAGCCCAAGATTAAAGAATATAAACACATTCACAGAAAACTTGAACAGCTCAAACATTTGAAAACATGTTCAGGCTCTTGCCGAAACCGGTCTGGCTCAGTGGATAGAGCGTCAGCCTGCGGACTGAAAGGTCCCAGGTTCGATTCCGGTCAAGGGAATGTACCTGAGTTGCGGGCACATGCCCAGTAGGAGATGTGTAGGAGGCAGCTGATCGATGTTTCTAACTCTCTATCTCTCTCCCTTCCTCTCTGTAAAAAAATCAATAAAATATATTTAAAAAAAATAAATAAAAAACTTTGCAACAGCATTACTCTCCATATTTTCATCTACTCAGTGATGTATTTTGTTCTCAGTGATGAATTTTGTTATGTCTCGTCATAGGAGTGGCCTGACAGATGAAAGTAGTAGCTCGTGCATATCTCTGAAGGTCACGAAATATAAACCTGATGTAAAATCTGTCATCGGTGATGCAGCAGCAAAAGTTCCACTGATAATATCAAACAGAGTCATAAAGTTTTCTGTTGGACTATCAGTGTACATATGTATACATTAAAAAATAAATATTTTTCATCATCGTATGCTGTTGTTTTTGTCGCTCGAATGAATTTTATTATTTCTTCAAGGTTCTTCACATACGTACACCTTAAGAGATATCAAGTAAGCGTAACGTGTTCTCAAAAAATTAGGGTTGGCAGGCAGAAGAGTTTTGAGTCGGAGAGTTTACTGGTTTTGGCACGCGCTCACAAAAAGGTTGCCCACCCCTGATATAGGACTTAATTTTTCTTTAAATATATTTTATTGATTTTTTTTACAGAGAGGAAGGGAGAGAGATAGAGAGTTAGAAACATCAATGAGAGAGAAACATCGATCAGCCGCCTCCTGCACATCTCCTACAGGGGATGTGCCCGCAACCCAGGTACACGCCCCTGACCAGAATCGAACCCGGGACCTTTCAGTCCGCAGGCTGACGCTCCATCCACTGAGCCAAACTGGTTTCGGCAGGACTTAATTCTAAGGAAAGAAACCATGTGTATTTTATCCTAGCTGTAGCCTAGCACCAAGCACAAGGTCTGGCACCTAAATCAGTATTTGTTAAAATAAGGAATGGTCCTGGATGGTGTGGCTAAGTTGCTTGAAGTTGATTCCTGGTGAAGCACATACCCAGGTTGTAGGTTTGATGGATATTTCTTTCTCTTTCTTCCCTCCTCCCCCACTCCTCTCTAAAATCAATTGAAAAAACAAAGGAGCAATTCTGAATCAATATGGCAGGATTATAGCAAGTGATTTTGCTAATTAGCATGTAAATGCCAGAACTTTATTATTGAGCTAAACTACTTTTTTTTGTCATCTTCTAAAGCAATGGATAAGCAGCTCAGGAATTATGACAGGGAAGTCAAAATTCAATGACTCCATATAAGACTTCTTTTAACTTTCTCATTCCTTCTCACCACTACAGTACAAACTCTTATATGCTTTATATTTTCTAACATAAAGCCGTAAAAACTAATTAAAAAGATAACTATAGCCCTAACTGGTTTGGCTCAGTGGATAGAGCATCAGCCTGCGAATTCAAGGGTCCCAGGTTCGATTCCGGTCAAGGGCATGTACCTGGGCTGCGGGCACATCCCCAGTAGGGAGTGTGCAGGAGGCACCTGATCGATGTTTCTAACTCTTTATCCCTCTCCCTCTCTCTCTGTAAAAAAATCAATAAAATATATTTTTAAAAAAGATAACTATAACGAGGACTGATTTAGCATTTAGACAATTATTGCCATCAGCCATGTTGTTTAAATGGCAAGAGGAAGAGAAGCCAAATTGGAGCTTTTTACAGAAGACAAAATTGTGGCCCAACATCACTGCTTAAGCAATGAAGCTAGTATCCAAAAAAATAAAAATCAACCCTGTATTGAGGTTTATTTCTCATTCTACCTTTCCTCTCTACTGGTTTGGAAGTTATATTCTTATCCTTTCAGTGGTTATGCTTTAATTACAATGTGCATTCTTATTCAAGTATAAACTCAGAAACATTTTCTTTACCCTCCCCTTAAAGCGCCTAAGGGGCTTGACCTCTGAATAGTCTCAACCAAGATGTAACTTCTGAATGCTGCCTTTTATTGTTCTTTCAGACTAGCTAATTAGGTTTACCTGCAATTTCATTTCCTCTCAGATAAGTTTTTGGGTAGGTAACGACAAAATAAAAACTTGGGTTTATGGGACTCTCTCCCCCTCCCCACTTGGGAGTCTGTACTTGTTCTTCAATAAATCTCCACCTTTGCTATAAAACACACACACACAAACACACACAAAAAAGAACTTGGGTTTAATGCAGACTCTACCACTTATTAATTTCCGCATTCTGATCTTGACTTTTCTCACTTACAGGAGAACTACTTCATAATATACTCATGTGGATCAAATGTAAACATTCAAAGACCCAAAAAGTGATAGGTAGCATAGGTAGAGATAAGTAAACCTCTGGTAACTGTAAGTGTACCAACACAATCAAAGTGTAAGGCTACAGAAATTCATAAAAACCTCACAGGAACCTCTCCCAGTACAGTGCACCAAGAAAAGTAAATAAATAAAAAGTGCACCAAGAAAAAACTAACAAAGCCCCTGAGAAAAAAGGAAAGATTGCGCAGTTGGACATACTAGATGGGAAAGAGCACTTGTTTTAATGAAATGTTTTCACTATGGAGTGTCGACCTATAAACCAAGAGGTCAGGGTTCAATTCCCTGACCAATGGTTCTCTCTCATTATTTATGTGTCCATTATTTCTCTCCCTCTCTGCAATAAATAAATAAAAACCATTAAAAACACGTTTCCTCACTATTCAAGAAATATCTCAGGCCTGAGCAGCATGGTGCCACCTTCGGAGCAATCCTGTCTTCTATCATCCCCTCGTCCTTCAGTGTGCATTCCTACGGCGCATTTACCTACCAACCCAACACCGCCGCCAGCTAGCAGAGCTCCAGGCAGCTCTCGATGAAGATGCTTAACATCCCCCAGAAGCCCCAGAAACAGCGTCTCCCGCCGACACTCCCACAGTCCAAAGAACCACGATGCTCTCCACCACAGGCCCAGAACCGGCTCGCTGCAGGTAGGAGGGCACGAGGTGAGCGAGGAGACCGCGGGGAACCAGCCTCCAGGTGCCCCACAGCGGAAATCCTAGGCTCTGGCCGCGCAGCCCCAAACAATGGAAGTTTTCCCGCCTCCTCAGGGCCCCGCCCCCTGCTCCAGCGCCGGCGGAGGCCGGCGAACACGGGCGCCAGATCCCGCCCCTGATGCTCCGCCCACCGGCCCCACCGGTCCAGCTTCTCCTGCAGGGCTTTTCTTTTTTTTTTTTTTTGGCGCCAAATCTCTATTGGTTATTCTCTCAGGTTGTTTGGGGATCCTACCGGAGACGCGCCCCAGGAGTGCGGGGGCAGTACGCTGCAGCGCCGTGAAGGCTCAAGGGTGCGCTGGGCCCCGCCTCCCCGCCGATAGCCCCGGGCCGGGGGAGGAAGAAGAGGGGCTGGCGATGCAGACAGACGCCGCTGCCCCCGGCAAGATGGCGGCCGCGAAAAGCGGGGCAGGGGGCGCCAACCAACCGGCGTAACTGCTAACGCGCGAGACTTTATGCCAGAGGTGGGCTTCTCCAGCGTCCAGGCCTCCCCAAACAGCGACGGTTGTTCACTAGGAGGCAAGCCCTCCAACCCACTGGTCTCCCCTCCCGGGGAGCCCCAGTCTCCCCCCCGCTCCCCGCGAACTGGGCAATGCCTCAAGCTTTCCGCGGTCCCGCTTACTTCTCGGCAGAAACCAGCTCCGCAGAGATGGCGGCAGTGGCTGTGGACTCTGCGTCCATCGTTCCCCTCAGGTGGCGGTCCAGCGGACGAAATACAGCCTGTGAGAAAACAGCGAATTTGGGACGCCAGAGACTCACACAGGCACAGAAAATGGCAGATTGGAGACCCCGCGCGGCTGGGCCCTCTCATATATCAGGGCCCTTCGCCCCGCCCATCCACTTCCGGATCCTCCCCCTCCAGTTTAAAGGACCCGAATCCAGCCCCGTCTAGCCCAAGGACACCCCCATCCTCGCTTCTGACTCTCGGTGTACCTTTTCTCCCTGACCTGTTTTCGCCCCAAAAAGCAACTTCCAGCTTCTCTAGCAAGTCGCATAAAAACTGGAATCTTGGCACTACAACTCCTGAGTGGGCTGTAGCCAGCGGCTTCCACAGAAAGGGAAGCTGGCGCTGCTCGGCATATTTGGAGTGAAGAGCCGAGGGTCTATTTCCGGCCCGGATAATGCGGGAGGTTCTGAGACCTTAACCTCGCAGTCGTAACGGATGGACACGCAAGAGCCGAGCACGGGTACAGCAGCAACGGCTAAAACTGACCTCGGCGTGAGACGCGTGGCTGGGAGCCTCAGCAACAGCTGAGCGAAGGAAATGCTCGTCTAGGATTGGCTACCGCGGAAACCACCGCGCTCGATTCAAAGCTCAGCTCTGCAGTGGCGCACGGCTGGCCCCGTTCTCCGGGCCCGCCCCCTCCGGCTGGCCCAATCGGCTGCCGCCATCAGCTGAGGCCCGACCCAGGCTCCAAATCTGACTAGCTTAGTGGTCCCAGCTCTGTCCCCTCCGCTCAGCGCTAAAATTTGTTTGCCTGCTACAAGCGAGGGCACTGTGCTTAGACACTTAAAGAAAGCGATTAGCAGTCATACATACGTAATCTTAACAACACTACTAGTCAGATCGGTGTTATCAACTGCATTTGGTAGAAATGGAAACCACAGTTCAGGAAAGGGGGGACTTGATCAGAAAATTGCAAGCCAAGTCGGTTCTGGAAAGCAGTGCGCTTCATTTTCTGCAACTGATTCCAAAGATTGCTGGCAAACTGAAATGGCTGCACTTACCCACACCTGGAGCATCATCCATTGCGTGCCACCTCTTAGCCTTGCCTACAGTGATCAGAACAGGATTTTATTTACGTCCAGGTTCAGACACACTGGTAAAGATTCCTGGTGGGTAAAGAGACATGGGCTCTTCCGTTATTAGCTGGGTGAACTGAGCCAAGTCGTGTAACCTATTAAGATTAAATGTAGCCGGAACCGGTTTGGCTCAGTGGATAGAGCGTCGGCCTGCGGACTGAAGGGTCCCGGGTTCGATTCCGGGCAAGGGCATGTACCTTGGTTGCGGGCACATCCCCGGTGGGGAGTGTGCAGGAGGCAGCTGGTTGATGTTTCTCTCTCATCGATGTTTCTGGCTCTCTATCTCTCTCCTTTCCTCTCTGTAAAAACTAAATACAATATATTTTTAAAAAAAGGAACAAACAAAAATAAGGAGAACAAAGCAAAAAGCAAAAAGCAAAAAAAAGCTAACAAAATAATAATAAAAAATAAAAATGAAAAATAGACATTTCATTCCTTTGGCTGGCTTAAGATTCCAGTTTTCTGGAATGTCTGTGATTTTGTTTTTGCTGTTGTTCATGTTGTG